CTTACATTTTCTTGCACCCTCAGATTCCAGATTTTCAAATAGTTGTATCTCGGCCTAATATTGTTCTATCCTAACAAACCATACATCAATGGAAAGCTTATTTATTCAGCTTTCAGATTTAAAAAAATTGACCCTTATGACTGGTTTTGTGCTCCAGGGTTACATTTGACACCAGGACTAAGACGAAGACTAATTTAAAACGGCTGACAAAATGAACTCTAAGCGGCACTAGGGTTGCAAAAAGGTGGAAAATTTCCAGAAAATTTCCGAAACTTTCCAGGATTTTTGGGAATATTCCAGGGATTTTTGGCAAGTTTCCGGAAATGTTCCACCCCTATGCAACCCTAAGCGGCACACACCTCTGCGTGTAGCTGGATGGCGTGTCGGCGAACACGTGTTCGGTGTAGATCCCGGGCCGACTCTCATCCGCAGGCGTGTTGCTGTGGCTCTCCGTGGCCTCCAGAGCTTCTTCTGCTGCTGCTACCTCGTCTGCAGAGAGATTTCACAGCTGCTTTACACAATACAGAACGTTTGCATGCAGCTTCACACTAATATCGACTGCTAAAATAACTGTGCTAATGTTGTAAAATTCATCAAAGATGTAAAGAAGACAAAGGTGTCAATATTCAGCTCAGTTGAGTTAAAGTTTCTTATGAATCTTATGAATATTAATAATCTTTTAAGTCTCAAACTTATGTGAGGTAACACAAGGTTTAATATGGTGAAGCAAAGGTCAACATGAAATGCAGTTTGCAACTCAATTTATATGAACTCTGTTGCGATCTGATCAAGTGAAGCAGGAAATTCAAACAAGAAAAAATAAGAATATATAAAAAATATATTTATCGACTGGATCTGAATTGACTTGTAAAGCCAGGTTGTTTTAGAGACGGAACATTTATTAATATTTTGCACTGTTCTGCATTTGTTTTTGTCGTAAATATGACTTTTTTTTGTAAAAATGCTAATGTATTTTGTATGCATTAAGGTTTTTTTTTTTAGTTAATTCGTTTTTGTGAAGTGCTACAATCCAAAGTGTTTCTTTATGATTGTTTCTTTTTGAAAAGTTTGTTGTTTCTTTTCAAATGTGGCGTTTGGTAATTATGCTTTGAACTTTAGCCACTACCATATGTATTTATTTAATAATTTTGTTGTTACTAGTGTTAATTTCGTTAACGAAATCTATGACGAAAATAAGTTTTTTCCCCTGACTAAAACGAGACGATGACGAGGCGATAATACGGTCATTAAACGATGACTGAGACTATATCAACATACAATATCGTTGACGAAAAAAGACGAGACTAAAATGTAGTTAAAAGAACAAAAACTTTACCAAAACCTTTTTATTTTTGTTGAAAAAAGTGGAGCCAAAACATTTCAGACTGCTGAACAAGACTCTATTACGCGAGCGTTCATGTTTGCGGTTGCCAGATATCAAGAGCTCAAATATTCATGCTCGATATTCTATTGATTTGTGCTTATTGGTGAAAGAGCAACTTCTGATGAAATGTAAAAATTAATTTCCCAAATGACAACAACCATTGCAATTAAAATTGAGCAAAATAATAATTTTTTATCATTTTAACCGTTATACAGCAAGACGAAAATATGACAAAAATCAATGTGTAAGTTTCCACTGACTAAAACTAGAATAAAACTAACACAGGACAAGTTGACTAAATATGATAAAAACTAAAAGTAACATTTGACACAGGACTAAGACTAAATTAAAAATAGCTGACAAAATTAACACTAGTTGTTACTTATTTTTGATGCATTTTGTAAGCTTTGATTTAATATTTTATGTTATCTTATTTCCTCTACTGAAGAATTTGGATTCATGAAACATTTGGAAGAGAGTTTCTAATTTTTCATACACTGTTTTTGTGTAGCAGCAGCCAGAAATAAACTCTGCAAAAGAGATGTTTGGATAATTTTTCCAATCTATTGGTCACATACTGCTGATAAAAGATTACAAATACATTTTATTTCATTTATTTGTAGTAACAAGCATAAATTAATTAGGTCACACTTTATTCTCACTACTACTTTTACCTCAATAAACGCTTTATTTTTGCACCCTCAGATTCCAGATTTTCAAATAGTTGTATCTCAGCCAAATATTGTCCTATCATAACAAACCATACATCAATGGAAAGATTATTTATTCAGCTTTCAGCTGATGCATAAATCTCAATTTCCAAAAATTGACCCTTATGACTGGTTTTGTGGTCCAGGGTCACATATGTGCTTTAAAAGTATTAATAAACAGCCAATATGCATGCTAATAAGCAACTAGTTACTAGTGAGAATTGGTCCCTAAACTAAAGTGATACCATTAATTGTTCATAATAAGACCATGAATGTGTATCAAGGAAGTAAACAGGGTAGATTTAGTTTTCATGTTGACTTTAAAAAGGTAAAATGCTTCCCTTTAACCACGAGTCATCTTTTCTTTACAGAAGGTTCAATTTGGTGCATTATTTCCAGGGAGTTCATAAGACTTTATTCTTGTTTGTGTTGAATGAACAATGGAGTAAAGTGGTCCAGACTTTAAAATCAAACGCGTGACTTGATGCTATCTTCTGCAGTGCTGTGTCTGTTAGTGTTACCGGTGTCTGAGGACTCTATGGAGTTGGTGCAGACGGTTTGAGGGATGGCCACGAGTCCTTCTGCAGAGCAGCCCATGACAGTGATGCCATCCAGACCTCCGTCAGAGCCTGTGGAGCTGACTTCAGAAGCCCCTTCGGCCTCAGCGTCTGCGCTCAGCTCCTCTCCGGAGGGATAGTCTGTTTCACGAGCGCCTGACACAAACACACACAGAACCCGTCAAACCGAAAGCGCTGGAGGAGATGATGAATAAGGCCTCAGTGTGTCGTCTGACCGGGAACGCTGGCGATGCACAGCACGTGAGAGTTACAGACGAAGAAGCTCTCCAGGATGTTTCCGGGCTGGTTAGCGTCGATGACGATGACTTTAGAGGAGGTGTGTGTGGTGGTGCAGATCCACACCAGACTGGAGAGATCATCCTGGAATTATAAATTTGAATTTTGTTGAAATTGTACAGTTAAATGTTTTTACAGACAGAATTCTGGATTTCTCATTTTTTTATCACTCCATAAACCAGTCGTCAACAGACAAAACAAAAACATCTTCACCATGTTTTTAGGAATAAAATATTCTATCACTCAGTGTGAATGATGATGCATGAACAAACCCCGGTGTAAAAGCCTTCAGAATACAGATAGAAATGAATCTGTAAAGTCTGTATATAAGTGCTGCTGAAGTGCAGAAAACCACTTTTTCAGAAAGATTGTAATTGAAAACTGAAGTGTATTTTGGATGTTTGCTTTCCACAACTGCATGAAAAGCCAATGGTGTTGCCTGCAGAAAACCAAGTCCTTCTTCACGAGATGCATGTGATATTTTGGAGCTCCTGACCTTGAGTTCCTGCTCCAGTCGCTCCAGACTGCTCCGAGATCCTCTCTTCTTCCTGAGGCCGCTCTCTCCTCCAGACACATCTTTATAAAACACACTCGCTCCCACGATGGAGCCTCCGTCTCGTGTCTTTCCACCGGACAGATTGACTCCTGCAGTGCACCACAGCTCCACACACAAACACACGACAAACACGTCAAACTACGACACTGACGGAGCTCAAGACTCGGTCAGAGAGCAGTCTCACCTTCATGGAAGCATCTTTCTCGTCTAACGGTCGCAGGTAGACGGGCACTGGCAGATTTTTTATTTTACTATCCGCTTGTCCACCATTTGCAACCTTTGAAAAGAGAACAAGGCGGCTTTAACAAAATACTTTTATAGCAACCCATTAGGTATAAAAATCACTTTTAAATGTATACACTACCGGTCAAAAGTTTGGGATCAGAACGACTTTTAATGTTTTTTACAGGAGTCTCTTTGGCTCATCAAGGCTGCATTTATTTGATCAGAAATACAGGAAAAAATTTAATATTGTGAAATATTATTATGATTTTTTAATGCATTTTAATATACATTAAAATCTAATTTATTTCTGTGATGCGCAGCTGTATTTTCAGCATCATTACTCCAGTCTTCAGTGTCACATGATCTTCAGAAATCATTCTAATATGCTGATTTAAAATGTTGCGCTGCTTAATATTTTTTTGTAACCCGTGATACTTTTTTTCAGGATTCTTTGATGAATAAAAAGTTAAA